TACACAATTGATGTATATATGGATTGTGATAAGAGTTGTATGTGTCCCTAAAAAAATGATTTAAAAAAATATATATGCTGAGATTTCCAATCATTGTTTTACTTTTGTAATAAGAATGGGTGTGCCCCTTGAGAGGGGGTTAGATGAACCAATTCCTAATATTCTTCCCAATTTTAAGACACAAGGCCTCTTGACTCATTCATGCAACACACACTTGTTGCCAGCACAAAAGGTAATTTTCAATATATATATTCTGGGGCACGATGGCTACCGTGTGCATGAGGATTCCAAAGGCAGCCATCGGAAATCCCATTCATACTGGAGCGTACGGAGGGTCTGTAACTTACATAATGAAGTTTGAACTTGCAGTCATCTTCAATTTCATCAGCACTGTCCTCATCAGAAACGTCTCCTTCCTCGGCGTCATCCCCGAGGTGAAAAGGCAACTTCTTGCCCTGAAATGGAAGAAAAGGAAGACTTTAAGCATGAAAACAGAATATGCTATATAGCTTGGCCAAGAACCCTGGTGATGCAGTGGCTAAAGTGCTCAACCAGTAACCAAAAGATGGTTGAGCTCAGCTCCAACGGCGAAAGAAGTGGCAGTCCGTTTCCATGAAGATGTGTAGCCTTGGGACCCTATGGGATGGTTCTACTTTATCTTATAGGGTCTATGAGTTGGAATCAACTTGAGATCACTGGGTTTTGGGTTAAGCATTGACCCAAATAAATTACTGACCTAAATGAAGTACCGATCCGGGCTTCAGACTGATGAGAAGGGAAAGAGCTTGAATTGGAGGTAAAACAATGGGAGAGGGATTTTCAAGAAGAGTCACTCGAAATTACTTTCAATTAAATATAATTACTTAATGGCACTGTATTTAAAAATAAAACTCACAGCAGACTTCTTTTTAGGAACATATGACTCCCGTAAACAGCATGACCCCCATCCCATCATGATGCACAGCCCAGGTGCAGCTTGGTTGTCTAGGTGCCCTTTCCACTTGGAATCTATTGGCCTCCCTGTGTGTAGCCAGCCCCCTCTTTCACGGGCAATGCAATGAAGCGCTCCCCCACTGGGCACTCTCCTCCCTCTTCTCTTGCCTCACTCACTAACGTATTTTTTAAATCATGAGCTTTGTAACGAGGAAAATTCCTAGGATGTGCTCTACTGCCATCGAGTCCTTTCTCACTCACAGTGACGCTAAAGGACAGAGTCTCCACAGGACATCCCAAAACGTAAATCTTTGCAGGCGTGTACAACCTATAGTTCTCCCCCAGAGTGTCTAGTGGGTTTGAACACCCAACCTTTCAGTTTGCAGCTCAAGGCTTATTAAAACAGCACCAGCAGGGCTCCTGTCTTATATAATGTTAAGAAATTAAAGGTATCTAAGTATATATACAGTATGACCTCAATTATCTAGAAGAACATAGGGAAGAACTCCAGAAAGGACAAATGGTTAATTATGTAGTTATCTCTGAGTTATCTTCTCCTTTATTCTCTTTACCAAGTCACCCTGAGAAAAACTTAGAATAAGTAAAGAATAGCCACCCTAGGCAAGGCCTGATATAGGTGTCTACAAGAGCTACCAGGCTTCTCACTTGCAAACAGGAAGAGGTTTGGGAAATCAGAAACTGAATAGTAGGGGTATCCTAATTGGAATTGGAAATGGAATAGGGGTTTCACCAAGAAAAAGGAGCCCTGGTGGTTGAAGCTTCCGCCGCTGGTCAGAAGGTTGTGGGTTAGAACCCTCCCAGTGGCTCCATGGGAGAAATGTCTGGCAATCTGCTTCGGAGAAGAGTTGGGGTGGTGTGGTGGGGGGAACCCTGTAGGACAGTTCTGCTCTGTTACTGAATCCAATTCAACTTGATGGCACTCAAGAACAACGTCTAGAGTCCTTGGGTAGCACAAATAGCTATTAGCCAAAAGGTTGGCAGGGCAAACCCATCAAGATGTTCTGTAGAAGACAAGCCTGAAGATCTGCTTCCAAAAGTTCCCAGTGCTGAAACCCCTATGGAGCAGTTCTGCTCCCCATGGGATGCCATGAGTTGGAATCAACTGTAAGGCATTGCCCTTTGTTTGGGTTTATCTCCTCGAGAGAAGAATCTTCTAGCAAAGGAGTGGGCACAGAGAATCAGGCTCCAAGCCCTCTGTCATTAGCAGCCTCTAAAAATGGTCCTTAATAGCTTCCACCTCCTAGTATTAAAGTCCTTCTGTAATTCCTCGAGGGAGCCCTGGTGGCGTGATGGGTTACACATTGGGTTGCTAACTACAAAGTCAGCAGTTGGAAACCACCAGCCACTCTTAACTCACGCGCCAGGGACATCTAGCACTCCCTGCTCTCCAGGGCAATATTTGCTCCTCCTTCAGTGTGTGTTCGGAATCAACTTGACGACATTGGGTTTGGTTTGGGGTTACATGTGGATCAACCACCTCACTTACTTCCTCCCTTGATTAAACTACCAGTTTGGTCAGGCTTTGAGGGACATTTCTATCTGCACCTACCTTGGTACTTAGAGCTTTGATCTCAGGTATTTAGCATAGTGATCGGTTCAAGCAGATTCAATAATTTCTATAGTGAAAACAAAACCTATATTAAGAATCCATACTAGCAAAATGACTGCTTTAGAATATCAAGACACAGTCACCAGAGCCTTCTGAGCTGACCTTGTGGCTGTGAATTTAACTGGCCCAACAAATCCTCTCGGGAGCCACTGTTTTGACTGGAATTTGTTTAAGTGTGCTAATAAGTCTAAAACAAGTGCATTACTGAGAGAACCTGTCTGGACTGAATATTCAAACACATTTGGGTTTGAATAAACCCACAAATGTATAAACTGGAACTACTGGTCCACTGCTTTTTGCCATGTCCTCGTAAACTACAGAATAAACTTAGGGAGACTCTTCTGTGACCTAAGTTCAGTAGAAATCTAGGCGAATGACCTAGGTCTCTCCTGTGGATCCCTTTCCAATCCACATACAACTTCGTGTAGGAGCTACACTCTAGAACTTGAAGTATTTGTTCCAGCTGCGTGACCTTTGTGACCCACACCTGTAGAAGTAGGCAACAAGGCCAGATAGGTAGGGGTCTATGGAAATTAGTGTTTATTATTATTTATCAAAGAATTTTTTGTTTCTTTTTGAAGATGAAATGCATGGAAACATGTATGTACACATCATTGAAATGTGTGTGTGTGTGTGTGTGTGTGTGTGTGTGTGTGTATTATTACAATACCCAACTCGCCAATCTCCAGAGTGGTAAGTCATCATTCAAAGGTGGTCTGTGGGTGAAAAACGGTTCCAAAGGTGAAGACACAGAAAAACAAGTTCCGTGGGTATGAGAGTCCTTCTGTTTGGCTTTGCTTTCAAGGGGAATATGCTGGTCCATACATCCCGGATAGCTCCTTTTGGAAAGCATTATTACCACTAGTAAATGGACCTCGCCTGCCCTTGAAATAGTTGCAGTACACATGGCTGCTGCCACTCATCCCAGTGAGAGCCTCTGACACTTTGGCCCTGATTCATCCTGCTGCCCATAAACTCTGAAACATTTTCTGCCAAGTGACCCAAAACATAGTTATACAGAAAGGGATTCAATTAGTTCATGTCAAATAGTCTCTTTGAGTTTAACTGTCACAGAGGGAAAGGCTTGCATCAAATGGACACTCTCTATACTTTGCCTTCTGCCTACAGGCTACCAACATTGAACCAACGTGGGACCCTGTGTGTAGGATTATAGAGATGACATTTAGATTTCCTAGCACCTCAATCAAGTTTACCCACGAGGGTTTGCTTTAGTGAGATGTCAAGCAAAACCTACCTTATTAGAACTCCCATTATTTAGAGAGTTTATTCAAACTGCTTTTACACAAACGGCTTTACAACACCTCTTAACAAGTTCATTATCTATAATCGTCATATAACTGTTAGAAAGTCAGGTTTTGATCCATGCCAAAGATACTTTATATCGCTAATGAATCTTTCCCATTAGCTCCACTCTCTTACAATCCCCATTAAAGGCTTCCTAAGAAATTCCACTGCCCTGGACTTTCCAGTGCATGCAATGTGATACTCCATTCCCTGTACAGGTAGCCTATCAGGCAAACGTCCAACGTATCACAGGCAGTGCTCATCTTTAATGGTATGCAAATCTGCCCTCGCTTTGAAGGAAATGAAATGAACCCTTACTTACAACAAACTCTTCTCAACAATTACCTTGAGACGGTTTTGGGCCCTTTTTACCTATAAATTCAAATCATTTGTAACAGATCTCATTCATAAGTAGGGGGAACTGCCTGTACCCACACCCCTAAGTAAAATATAGCCTGGTTTGAATGTCTATGTGCCACTGTTCTTGTGTTAGACTTTCAATCTCAAAACAATGCAAACCATAAAAAGTGAGTTTTGTCTTTGCGTATCAAATGAGCTAGAATTAAGTACATTTATCCAGGCAGCCATCTGAAAACCCAACATACCAGTCTCTCCGGCGGTTCTTTGCAGTAATAATATTCATTGCAGGTAGTGAATTTCCTCCCTCAGAAAATCTGTTTACAAAATGTCAGTCTATTTCACCTACTGCTCCTTGGCAGCCCCTCAAGCCCCATGGGCAGTGTGTCAGCGTCTGAGCTCCTCTTCGAAGCAAGCCTTTCTCCCCTGCAGGCCTAAGGCTGATCAACCATACAGACTCCTTTTTCTTTTTTTGACAAAAAATTATTGGAGCTTGAAATGGGAGAAGAATCTGAAGAGAATTCTTTCAGATAGGGGTGTAAGGAGCCTTTTCTTCCCCTCTACGCCACCACCACCACCACCACCCTTACCCACCCACCACACACACACAACTTCTCTTCTATGTGAATTATTACACACTTAAATATTCGATTTATGAGACTGATGTCCTCACTTCAAAGGCACAAATCCCAGCATATACTTTTGGTTAATGAGCTTCTTTGGAGGGAATGGAATCAGATGCATATGCAGATCTAGACGCACTGTTGATTCTAATTCTTATTCTCCGGGTAAACCCATTCCCAATCCCTAAGGACGCAGGCTTAGTTGATATAAAATGCATTGGATTGCATTCCTGGGGGTAATTACCTTCACTAGGATTTTGCCTTTCAGACTTTGAGGGCTTGGAAGCTGCTTGCACTCTCCTGTGTCTACCGAGGAGAGATCCAGTTTGTCTTGGAAGACCCCCTTCAGGTACTGAGCAATCTTCCTCTGCTGCTGGATGCTGCAGTGATTCTCAATGGACAATATCACGGGAAACCTGCGAAAACAGTAACCCATTTCATGCTAGGAGGTAGAAGCAACTCCGAGGGGGGTTAGAACATTATTGTGTGACCACGGAGGTCTTGCCCAAGGCTTGACAGCATTTATGATCGTGGCAATGATCAAACTGAGGCCGATGGCAACAGAAAGTGCTAATACAAGTAGGATGATTTCAGCTAACATTTTTCATCAGGGGTAAGAATGGTCAGAACATTAGAGCTCACGAAAAAAGGACACGGAAGAGAGCAACAGACGTGAGACATCATAGGCCTATGGGAGGAAAATGCATACATCTGTCCTATTTACTCTAAGGTCTAGACACAGCTACATGCCCACTGAATATCATCAGATGCCACATTTAATCTGATATACAGAGTCAGCCTTCAGTTTGAAAATTACTATTGAGGGTACAATAATATAGTGGAATTCTGTTTTATAGTTCCCTATATCAGGCACTTCAAATCAATGTATCAAGTTGTATACAAGTCTTTACTTTCGTAAAAAAGCATTCAGTCTTTCAGTACTTCAGTACTTCTGTGCTCAGAATGTGACCCCCCATAAACTAATGACTCAGACACAGCCTGAGGAATTGGGGGACAAGGCAGAAAGGGAGTCTGAGGTATTACATGATTTCACTCTTCTAGTTTTGGGGGTTTTGTTGGGTTTTTTCCCCTCATAATAAGAAATCATGTCAAATTCCATTTGAAAGATTTTTCCTCTCATGTTGCATGAGTTATCTTCAGAAGTAATAGGGACGGTATTTTTCTAGAGTATATTCCAAAAGGACACTCCCTGCCATCAAGCCGATCCCGACTCGTAGCAATCCTCTGAGGGGGACAGCTCGTGGTGGAACTGCGGGCCTGTGGTGAGCAGTCTACTGCATGGTTCACTCCAGCGCCAGGACTCCGCAAAGTCTATAAACTAAGAGTTACATTATGTAATGTACCCATGTAGAGAAGGAACATTTATCTGTGGGCTTTCATGACAAGCACAAGGTCCACAAGGACATGATCACTTTCGGAATCCACATTCTATCCTCATTAGAAAGCCTGATGTCTAAGGTAGAGTGAGAGGGGAAAACCTTTGAGATGGAACTTGGGTCGGTTGTCAAACAACAGCCTATTTGTTTGCTCACTGGGTGCTCACACAGGTTTCCACCCTGGGGTGACGGAAACACAACAAGCAACTCTGAATTGGAGGTTTTAACAATGAATTTTTAAATTATTGATTGGTTTATTTAAAGCCTATGTATGCCTAAGGATGCTTCGGATAATGCATTGCTTATAAAAGTGACACAGGTAACCCACCCTCACTCATGGGAAATTCGGCAATGTTTGGAAGAGTGGGTATCCTTGGACATCTAATGGGTGAGTCCTGATGGCCATTCCACAAGCAAAAGACAGTCTCCCCATACCAAGCAACTATTTGGTCCCAAAGGGCAATAATGCCAAAGTGGGGCAACTGGTACAAAACGATAATTAAATTTTAACAAAGAAAAAATAAAGACTTGAACTTTTGAAATATATGGAACAAACTTGTTAACTGTTGTAATTTGAAGTGCCTTTCTCCCAAGGGGCCTCAAGCTTATGATAAGCACTCCCTAGTCACGAAGGGCTCCTACAAATCTCATAGGCCGCAGTTTTCTCACCAGCAGAGGATCCCTTACGCTGTGCTACTTGAGATTCTTCCGTGGAAGGAAACGAAACCTACTGTGTAACCCTTGCTAGAACTGCACTTACCGCATGATGGATTAATTAATTAATGAGAAGGACAGATAGTTTTAAATTTTCAAGGCTACTAATGCCTATGAAACTGATTTTATACCACTGTCATTTCAGTTCACTTATTTTCATTTCCAATAATTTTTTGCATGCCTGGGTTATTGTGGGCACCATACTAGGCAATGAAGAATGAATAATACATAGCTCTTCATGTACAGGGAGTAAGTACACAATCTTATAGATTTTAAAAAAGGAGAAGTAAACCAGCGATTTCTTTGTTACAGGATATGTCAGAAAGAGGTCTAGAGTAAAACCGAACAGAGTAAAACCAATCCACAAACCTACCACCATCAACTCAATCCCCATTCATAGCAACCCTATGCAGGGTTACCAAGGCTGTCAATCTTTCAGGGAGCAGACAGGCACATATCTCCCCTGCCGAACATCGGGTAGGTTTGAACCACTATCTTTGCACACCACCACCAAAGCCCACTCACTGCCATTGAGTCAATTCTGACTAGTGGAGATTCTACGTAAGCTTTCTGAGCTGTCAATCACTACAGGAGCAGATAGCTTTCTCTTTCTCCTGGTGGGTTTGAACTGCCAAGCTTGAGGTTAGCAGTCCGACACTTATTGGACAGCATCACTAGGGCTCCTAAAGAACAGAGAAAGGGGGAATGTACATCAGCTTTCCGGGTGGTGTAGTGGTTACACACTGGGCTACCAACCATCTGGTCAGTTAATCCGATAGTAAATGTTTACTGGAATGTTTCTGTACAGGTCTGAAAGCATAGGGGAAAGTTCTGGACTACAGTTAGAAAAGTATCAAAAGTAAAAGAGGCCAATGTCAATACCTTAGGAAATATTAGCTATTAAGAGGATAAGGAGACAGAATAAAAGCACACAGCCTGCCCACCCCCACCCCACAAAAAAGCAATGACAGAACTAGAGGGCAGAAAGTGACCATGAAAGCTTAGAAAGCTGAGGGAGGGCGGGTGGAAAGGGGAAACCGATGACAAGGATCTGCATGTGACCTCCTCCCTGGGGGACGGACAACAGAAAAGTGGGTGAAGGGAGACGTCAGACAGGGCAAGATATGACAAAATAATAATTTATTAATTATCAAGGGTTCATGAGGGAGGGGGGTATGGGGAGGGAGGGGAAAAATGAGGACCTGATGCCAGGGGCTTAGGTGGAGAGCAAATGTTTTGAGAATGATGAGGGCAATGAGGGCAAAGTACAAATGAGGGCAAAGTACAAATGTGCTTTACACACTTGATGTATATATGGATTGTGATAAGAGTTGTATGAGCCCCTAATAAAATGATTTTTTTAAAAAGAAAGAAAAAAGTTTAGAAAACAAGGAAACGGTCAACACAATTGAATGTCAAGGAGAGAAGTAACAGAAGGACGCCAGGCACCATAGTCAATACAGGACATCCATCAAGTCTGAAATCCCACACAGTGTTTTCTTATTACATTGCACTGTGTTATCAATAAACTGCTTGTCAGGCATAGTTGCCTGGGTGTTCAGTTTTTGTGGACACTGTGAGTGGAGAAATCCAGAAAAACTTCTCAGAGCGTTCTGAAGGCTTTAAGGTGAGAGAGCATACAATAAGGAATCAGTGAAATACGGAAAGCATCCACAGGGAGACCACGCTATTTGTTCGTGATGTTTGTGCAGGGAAGGAAAGAGCAAGAGGGAAGAGGAGGAAGAGGGAGGGAGCGTGCAGAGAAGAGAATGATTTTGTAGCCCAGTGTCCTCTGGTGCTCCTCCCTCCACTATCCGGAGTTCAGCTCCCAGCTACATTGCCATACTTACTCATTCTTCACAAAAGCGTGCTTGTTGATAGTCTCCACCACATCTCTGAAGAGAATTTTTGAAGTGAGGGTATAACCGTGGTGTACCACTGGCTCTCCGTCGGGGCCATCCCAGCAGTCCACTGCCAGAAGCAGAATTGCAAGTCAACAACCCAAAGTCTCTGGTTTGTACTAAATTTTGGAAATGTCATACACATAACTTCAGTTAGTCTTTGAGATCACGCCGAGTTTAACCATGACAGTGATGTCAGAGAGAGAGCCGTGCTCTGGCACAACATTGTAGTAAGAAACCTACTGCCAGCACGTCCTTTCTGACTCACCCAGGCACTCTGGGCCTGAGGAGAAACACTCACCGGGTTCAGAGGGTGTAAACCTCTGCCGAAGCAGATTGCCACATCATTCTCCTGGGGAGCAGCTGGTGGATTTGAACCTCTGCCCTTTCAGTTAGCAGCCAAATACCTACCACACTGTGCAAGCACAGCTGCTTATAGTAATAGAATTGAAGATAACAAGTGGTTTGGTTTGGAGAGCTTAGAGTGAGCAAACATGTCAGATTCCTAGGTAGCCCAACTCTTGCCAAAAACTTTTTCAAAGTTGCTCTAAGCCCCATCAAGTGTGCCCAAGAACTCAGTCCTCTTTTTAGAACATGGTTCCGCTGATTTCATGTCTTCAGATTATGAATCTATTATTAAGTTGGAGAGCCCTCGGAGCAATTACAGAGTCATTATCGTTCACTTAAACTCATTATATTTCTATTTGTCATTTTACTTACAAAAACAAAATTGGTGTATTAGTCTAGGTACTTTAGAGAAACAAATCCACAGCAAATCACGTATAAGAGAGGGTTTTATATAAAGGTTAAGTGTGCATCAAGAAAACATCCCAACCCAGTGCTGCCCAAGTCAAGTCTAACATTAGCCCATATGTCCAACATCAATCCACAAAGTCCTCCTCCATCTCACAAAACAGACGCAATGATGCTGACTGCAGGGGGAAAGCCGAGTCAGTGAACGTGTAAACATCTCAGCGCTGGCAGGGTCTCCACATGGCTGTTCCAGCACCCAGGGCTGCATCGGGGTAGGTCCATGTGGCTTCTCCTCAGGGATGTCTTGTAGGAAGAGTCTTGCCAGCTAAACCAGGTAATTGGCTAAGGCAGCTGCACCCTGGTGCGTGCATCACAAAGCAAAAGACCTGAGAACTAGAAAGGCGAGGCTCACTGAGCCATTGATCTCTCCACCCTTCAATTAACCCCACATGTGTTTATCGGTCAGGTTGGCACAATAAACTAACTAACTCAATTGGCGTCCTCAATTTTCATTCTCTCGTCTTGCCAAGACGTATATAAACATAAACAAATTATTTAATTAAATAAAGCATTGCTTTCCCCCTCCTGATAAAAGAATAACAAGAGGACTGGCATCACAAATGTGAGCGATGATTGAACATATGTCAAGCTGTCCTAGACAGTGATGACCCTGCTGTGTGTGCAAACAACTTCATTGCCTCCCGACCGGAGAAGGCCAGTCACCGTCTTCTCATCGCCCTTTCTAACAGAGAGTTGGCCTTCCCTTATTTTACATGCTATCATGACACTAAGTCCTCTAACACATTGCTTTCATCATGTGGCCTCTTTCCTAAAACCTACTCAGTGAATTGCATGGTGTCCAACACATAGTAGGTGCCCAGGAAATATATACTAAACATAAATTTATACTAGATGTAAATTTAGTAAATTTCCTATTGAAACTTTTGACTTCTTCACTCAAAGGCACTAATTTCTTGTGCCAGGAATTGGCTTGTCATTCAATGAGTCTATGTTCTCTTGCCCAGGTACACAATTAGACTATATTTTCCAGTCTCCCTAGCAGTAGGATGTGGGCAATGCAATACAGATGGAAATAATGTGCATCACTTCCGACTCTGGTCCATGAAACTCTGCCCTCCTTCTCTTTGCTTTTCTGCTGTGACTTTAGAAGCCACGGGCTGAAGATGGCATGGCTATAAAATGGAAGGTACTTCAGCTTCGGAATCATTGCTTGAAAGATAGGAACACCCACTTGGGGCTTCATAAAGGCCAGGAATAAGCTTCAGGTGTTTTAAGGCAGAGATTTTGAAGTTTGGCTGTTGAGGAATTCAAACAAACCTGCTGCCGCGGAGTCAATTCTGACTCACAGTCAGCCTACAAGATAGGACAGCACTGTCTCTGTGAGTCTCTGAGACTAACTCTTTGCAGGAAGAGCCTGGCAGCTAACACAAGTAAGTAAAATAACCAAATAGAACATGAGGGTCTCAATGTGATAAATACCTCTCACTGCCAATCAATCATTGCTCAGGATAAATGAGGACCTGCATTGTCTAACATTCTAAGTAAAAACAAACAAAAACTCTATCTGTTATTGCCACAATTTTCAAATATTGGCATTTAATCTACTCTTTAAAATACTGAGTAGATCAAGCATGAACAAGTCTCCAGGCTGGATTTCGCCAACAGAATACCATTTGAAACCTCTGCATTTTAATGAGGAGCACACAGTTCATAAGGATGCTTGTTCTTCTACCTCAAGACTGTTCTCAGCCTATCTTCCAATCCTATATGAGTGGCATAATAGGAGTTCAGTAAGTATATACTGCCCAGTAGAAGGGTCCCTACATGTATGCTTTGTATATCACCTCAGGAAATGACATCCTAACTTTCCCTCTATACTTCTCAAATACTTCCCTCTAAACTCTTCTCAAAAGAGTTTAGTATAAACATAATGTTCTCTGCACTAATCAGCTAAACACTGACTCCTCAAATATCACTGCCAAAATAACTGGAAAAGGCAAAAGGACCTTGGAGGTCAATGTCATAGGTAACAAATTTGAAGAAACAAGATGCTGGTCAGGAGACCAAGAGTCTTTTTGGGATACCATCCCACTGTTCCTATTAGCCCACAAATGAGGTCACGTGTATCAAAGGCATACCCTCAGGGGGCTGGGGGAGAAGAAAGAGAATAGAAATGCTTCATCCATCTTCTGCCACGTAGTTGGCATTCTTTAATTTGTCTCTGGATATCGGCATAGAAAGAATGAGCAGATGTTTCAAAAACACATGACTTCAATCATGTATGTCCCGAGGCATAACAGGGTTCCTCGTCAATGAACTGAAATATTTCCAAAAAGAATGCGAAATAGAACAGGCATTCCCCTGTCCATACAGAAACACTGTCAAAGCTTCCGTGAAAAAAAGAAAGTGCTTCTAGAAAAAAAGATTATATGGAGGTATTCTTTTCTAATATCGATGAGATAATGTTTACTACTTTCTACTTCTGATTTTCACCACTCGTCTCTTCCATGAGGATCGCAACATGCACAAGCAAGATTCATAGGTTAACATGTGGCGTAGGAGGCCAGCATGTAATGGAACTACAGCTGCCTCCAGAGCTCATGCTAAAGGGCATGGTGGCAAGCTGGAGACCCATGCCAACTCCTATGGCGCCCAAAGCAGTCAGAATCTCTGTTCAACCATGTCACCATGACTAGCTGTTATTGAGTTGAGTCCAACTCTTGGTGACCCAAAGTGTGTCAGAGTCAAACCGTGCCCCATCAGGTGGCAGGGTTTTCCGAAGTATCACGCCAGACATTTCTTCCAAGATGCCTCAGGATGAGCTCAGATCTCTAACCTTCCCACGAACAGAGGGGCACCCCCACCATTTGCTCCATCCAGGGACTCACACCACACATATAGGCCCCCAAAGTGTCCCATGACAGAGTTGGTTGATTCTGAAAGCTGACCTGCTAACAGGATGGTTTTCATGATAGGACCCAAAGATGCTCTGCCTGGATAACAACCCAGAGATAACTGGAAAACCTGTACGCCGATGACAAAATGGATGCAACATCAGTCACACACGAGAGTGAAAGTCCCCTAGCCAGAACATTCAGATTTCTTAAGCAACTAAAGCTGAAAAATCCTGTAACGAATGTAATTAATATTGTGCTCACAAATCCAACTCCCTCAAAGGCTTATTAGTCTCAGCTGAGGCACCATATAGCTCCTGATGAAGGACGTTACCCAAACGAACTAATGGAGATACGGGAAAATTCTTCAGGTCATAAGATCATGAAGAAACGGTCCAGAATCATTAGTTTCTGCCTCTGAAAGCTAACTTGGCAAAAGCTGCTTCAGAAAAATACCTGATGGAGCTGAACACTTCCATCTCTGACAGGCTACCTTCCACAAATGGGTTTGGTTAAATCCTGTGTAAAAACAAAATCGCCTTCACCCAAACCCAGGTCTACAATGCAGTCTCCACACTCACGCTCCAAACAGGAGGCATGTTCTTCAGATCACACTGGTAGAATTGACAGGAAGTTCACAATGCATCATCTCTCTTCAAATTCTAAGTCTTCAGGAACATCTAGTGAAGGGCTAGACCTAAATGTGAACCAGCAAATCCCTCCTGTGAAAGCCAGCCTTCCCCCGTGCTGTGTTCTTCACTTGCTATAGCCCTTCCTGGTACTAGTACTTAAAAGCCCTAATTCTGTCCTTTCAGTCATCCGACCTTCGTTTCCCCAAAGAGCACCCAGCCTTCCTGCAGAGGGTGGAGCAGTGGACCAATCCGCATTCTAATCCCAGCTTCCAAACTCCCTAACCATGAGAACTTGAGTCATTTACTTCATTCTGAATTGAAGTGTTCTCTAAAGTGGAGATTATCCTATTCTCTTTGGTGGTGTTCAAAGAATTTATTGAGATCAAAGTTGAATTAGTGGTTACCAGGGGGAAGAGGGAGGGTATTAACGGTGATGAAAATATCATATTGACGAAGGGCATGGTAGCACAAATTACTATCAGAAGTTGTAAAACTGTAAAATGTTGAGTTTGAAGAGTTGTACGGTAGAAAGATTTAAAACAATGACCCCTCCCCACCTCCAAAAAGAAAAGAGTAGCTGTCGAGGGTGTTTATGTATATCCAAAAATTGGATGAAACTTGGTTCCTGGGTTTGGAGGTTTAAGGTCATAGTTTCATGGCACATCCCTGTTAATTGACCTAATAGCGTGTTTAGTACTTCTGTCTCTTAGTGTGATGGGTAGTGTTCAAGATTTCAAAAACTTACAAGCAGCCATCTGAGGCACAACCAC